ACACGCTGGATCTTGCTGGGTCCTCGGGCTTTATTATCCTTGGTGATGCTGCTGCGGTCTTGACGAAACTGATCCCGCATATTGCCACGGGAACGTTCCGTGACGTTCTGGTTGGGAGCATTGTTCAGTTCCACCATGCCGTCTTGCTTCACATGCGGCGTCTCCAGAAGCGCCACATGAAGTACAACCACATTTCTCCTAGAGACTACCTGGAATTCATCCGTCACTTCGTGTCGCTGTATTCGGAGAAGCGTGCGCAGCTGGAGGACCAGCAGCTTCACTTAAATGTCGGCGTGCAAAAGCTACAGGCTACGCATGAGCAGGTAGCGGAGCTGCAGGGACAGCTCAGTCTGAAGGAGAAGGAGCTCAAGAAGAAAGATGTGGAAGCCAACGAGAAGCTTCAGCAGATGGTGCAGGAGCAGAACGAGGCTCAAGAGAAGAAGAAGGATACTGAGGCCCTCGCGGCTGATCTTGCGAGCAAGGACGAAGAGATCCGTTCACGGAAGGAAGTTGTCGAGGCAGACCTTGCGCAGGCTGAACCGGCACTTCTGGATGCTCAGGCGTCCGTGAACTCGATTCGTAAGGCTCAGCTTGATGAGATCCGAGCACTCGCGCGTCCTCCTGCTGCCGTCCGAATGACGATGGAGGCAGTAGCGGTGATGCTGGGCGAGTCGAGCTTGGAATGGGCTGACTTGCGTAAGTTTATTCGCAAAGACGACTTCATCTCGCAGGTTGTCAACTTTGACTCGGAGAAGCTGACAGCTCGCCAACGACACACTATCCAGGCGAACTACGTGGACAAGGTTGATGAGTTCGACTACGAAAAGGTGAATCGTGCGTCGAAGGCGTGCGGTCCGTTGTACAAGTGGATTGTGTCGCAGCTCAGCTACACCAACATTCTGCACAAGATCCAACCGCTGCGAGACGAAGTGCAGACGCTGATTGACACGTCGTCGGATCTGCGCGAGAGGTACGAACAGGCCAAAAAGACCATTGACGCGCTCGAGATTCGCATTGAAAACTTCAAGCACGAGTATGCGGCATTGATCAACGAGGCGCAGATTATCACGAACGGCATGGCTTCAGTGTCCAAAAAGGTGGAGCGGTCTGTGGCGTTACTGAAGAGCTTACTGCAAGAAAGTGAGCGCTGGGAAGCTGGTTCGAACGACTTTGATACGCAGATGAAGACGCTTGTAGGCGACACGTTGCTGTCCTCTGCCTTCCTCACGTACATCGGTTTCCTTGATTTCCAGCAGCGGAAGATTCTGGTTCAGGACTGGCGTGACATCTTGGACTCGATGGGCATTAGCATGAAGCCGCAGTTGAGCTTTGTGGACTACCTGTCGCGGCCGAATGAACAGTTGGAGTGGCAGATGAGCGACCTGCCTTCGGACGAGCTGTGCTACGAGAACGCCATCATTCTGCAGCGCTTCCACCGCTTCCCGCTGATCGTTGATCCTTCTGGACAAGCGAACAATTTCATCATGAAGTATTACAGCCTCAAGACGAGTACCAAGATCGCGCAGACGTCGTTCCTCGACAGCTCGTTCATGAAGGTGTTAGCCAGTGCTATTCGCTTCGGCACTGCTCTGTTGGTGCACGAAGTGGAGAACATTGACCCGATCCTGAATCCTGTGCTGAACCGTGAACTCTACAAGACCGGCGGTCGCGTGTTGATTCGTCTCGCGGGTGAGGAGATCGACTACTCTCCGGACTTCCGACTCTTCTTGATCACGAGAGACCCGTCGTGTCGTTTCTCGCCTGATATTTGCAGTCGTGTGACATTTGTTAACTTCACTGTCACTCCGAGTTCGTTGGAGAGTCAGGGATTGAGCATTCTTCTCAAGAGCGAACAGCCTGAAGCTGAGGAAAAGCGCAACAATCTTCTCAAGTTACAGGGTGAGTACCAGGCTAAATTGCGTGAGCTGGAGGACTCTTTGCTACAGCAGATCAACAATGTACAGGGCAACATTCTAGACGACGACCGGGTTATCAACGCTCTCGAGAGTATGAAGGCAGAGGCGGCACAGATCTCGCAGCAAGCGGCGGAAACTGAAACCACAATGGCAATTGTGGAGGAAGCGACGAGTCGCTACCGACCGCTTGCGAAGGCGAGCTCACGCTTGTTCTTCGCGCTGGAGAACTTGTCGTCGGTTCACTTCCTGTACCAGTACTCGCTCGACTTTTTCCTGTCTTTGCTGTCCAAGGTCTTGGCTCAGTCAAGTCAAGGCGGAGAAGCAGCTCGTCTTGCCAGCATTTCTACCGGACTCTTCGTGCAGCTGGCTAGACGCGTGAGTAGAGGTCTAGCTGAGAACGACAAGCTCATGTTCGCGTTGAGACTATCTCAGATTTATCTGGAGCTGGAACAACAGAGTGCTGCAGTCGCTGACGCCAAGACTACGATGGATGACAGCAGTGCGTTTGATGGACCTACGGATGAAGACATGGACGTGCTTCTTGGAACCTCGTCAACGTTCTTTAATGCTGATAGCGGTGCACAGCGCAGCGAGTTTGAACAGCTGCTACCTGCTTTCTCGAAGACTGAGATCGATCAGCTGCTGAAGTTGACGAAGCTGTCGACGTTCAAGCTCCTTGAGACGCATGTGCGTGAGCATGCAGCCGAGTGGAACACGTTTGTGAAAACCCCATCAGCTGAGGAAGCTCTCCCAACGGACTGGGATGTGTCAGCCTCTGCAAGCCCGCGTCGTGCGGCGTTCCGAGACATGATTGTGATTCACTTCTTACGTCCTGATCGTATCACTTTCGCGTCGGAGCGATACATCGAGCTGGTGTTCACGGCAGCATTCCCATGGCGTGGCGAGATCGAGTTGTCCAAGAATGTCGAGGAAGATACTCAGGCAACGCGTGGAGTGCTTCTGTGCTCTACAACAGGTTTCGATCCGAGTGCGCAGATTGACGAACTCGCAGCGGTCCAGCAGAAGAAGTACAACTCTGTGTCTATGGGTTCATCTGAAGGCTTCGATGCGGCGGAGAAGGGATTGAACACGGCATTAAAGCATGGAACCTGGCTGCTGCTACGCAATGTGCACTTGTGTCCGTCGTGGCTCGTTAGTGTGGAGAAGAAGCTTTACAATGCACGCGAGAGTGTGCACCCGAACTTCCGTCTCTTCCTGACAAGTGAGATCAACCCCAACTTGCCAGTGAACCTCGTGCGCATGTGCGATATCTTCGTGTTCGAGCCACCGAGCGGCATGAAGCTGAGTATGGTGCGCTCGCTTGACACTGTGGCTGCGGACCGCATGAACCGCTCACCTACCGAACGTGCTCGTCTGTACTTGCTACTTGCCTGGTTCCATGCGTTGGTGCATGAGCGACTGCGTTTTGTACCCATTGGCTGGTCCAAGACGTACGAGTTCAGTCAGTCTGACTTCCGTGGTGCTTGCGATGTGATTGATCGCTGGGTGGACTCAGTGGCCAGTGGACGTGTACATGTTGCTCCTGATAACATCCCGTGGACAGCTATCCGAACTACGTTGAAGGAGTCAGTCTACGGTGGTCGTGTGGACAACACGTTCGATCAGGAACTGATGGACACGCTTTTAGAGCATGTATTCACTGCTGCCAGCTACGAGAACACTTTCGAGCTCGTGCCGCCTGGTGAAGGCAAGGATACTGGACTTGTGATTGCTGAGGGCAAGACGAAGGCGCAGTTTATGGACTGGGTCCATGCTCTGCCGACTACGAACCCACCGTCGTGGATGGGTCTGCCGCGATCGGCGGAGAGGATGGTGCTCATTAACCAGGGTGCCCGCATACTGCGTAACTTGCAGGTGATGCAGGAATTCTACGGAAGCGAAGGAGGAGACGATAGCACTGCTGCAGATGACGAGAGTAAGATGGTGCTGGGCACGGCTACTGCTGATGGCGGAGATGCCCGACCTAAGTGGGTACAGGATCTGGACCATCGTGTTGGCGCTTGGTTGCAGCTCTTCCCAGCGGAGGGACTTGCTGTGCCCACTGTCCGTGACCCCGTGCACTTCGGCAACCCTGTGTACCGCTGTATGTTCCGTGAGCTGGAGCTGGGCGCTAAGTTCCTGAGTGACGTGGTTGGGTTGCTACGCACAGTGCAGCAGGTGTGTGCGTATAAGGCGAAGCCGTCGAATGAAACGCGCGAGGCCATGCGTACACTGTACCGGGAGCACGTGCCTCAGCAATGGGCACAACTGTACCGTGTCTCGGATGAGCTTAGCTTGAGCGAGTGGCTCACAGACTTCTCTCGACGTGTGCACCAGCTGAACGCGCTGTCGCAAGTGGATCCGACTGAGATTCTGCAGCAACCTGGTGGTATCTGGCTCGGTGGGTTCTTCTCGCCTGAAGCGTTCGTGACGGCCGCACGCCAAAGTGCTGCAGCGGATCTTGGCTGTTCGCTGGACGAGCTGCATCTCCTTGCTGACGTGGAGGACCCTTCGACTTCGTCTGCCGGTGGCTTTACCGCTCGTGGCCTTCTACTGGAAGGTGCAACTTGGAACTTCACTGGTTTTGCGCCGTCTAATGAGATTCGCAACAGCTTGTCAGCGTTGCATCTTCGCTGGGCCCCGCAGAGCGAGGAGACGGACAACCTTCGATTGCTTCCGGTGTACTCGAACAGCAAGCGCGAAACTCTGTTCTTCTCGGTGGCCGTGAATGTCGAGGATGCCGCTTTCCCGAAAACGAAGTGGGTGCAGCGGTCGGTAGCTCTTGTGCTCTGGGAGCTGCAAGTCTAGAGTGAAGAGTGACATTAAAGCGATTGATGCCCCAAGAAGGGGCTTGCATTTCTAAACATTGAGTATGTTGGTTAAGACGTGGATAAAAACGACAAAATCTGTCTCTTCCTAGTGCTTTGAAGCTGTGTCTCTTCTAAAGTTGTGATTGCAAGAGAATCGAGGGTTGTGCTGGTGTCGACCTTTCTCGAAGAAAGCTAATAGCTCATACAGATCAAAGCGAGAAGCTCTCGCTGTCAGCTTCCTCATTCCTCAATTTGCTCTCTAGCTGGTAACCAGTCCCAGACACCGTCTCCGAGCACTTCCAAGCCTCGTCTTTTCTCCGCATTGACCACTCCACCGACCATGCTGTTCGGCATTTTCTTTTTCTTCCTGCTCTCGGCCTTCGTAGCTGCTGCAGAAGATGCCTGTTCTTCGACTGAAGTCGTCAAGTTCGCAAAGCTTTATGGTAACGAGCACTTGCGTCCGTGCCAGAAGGTTTCGGCCGGGTTTTCCATCGCACCGCCAAAAGGTTATCCGACAGACCCACAGGTCAAGGCCATGTGTGCTTCTTATGAATGCCGTGCGCTGATCGAAGACGTCCTCGCACTGAAACCTTCGGATTGCTACTTGTCTTTCGCCGGCGTCAAGCTGAATGCGTACAAGATAATGTGTGCCTTCAAAGACGCTTGCAATGGTGAGAAGGACAAGGATCACGAAGACGACAAGCACCACTCAACCGCGAAGCCGACTACGCACTACCCAACGTCCAAGCCCGCAGATGAGAAGTACTACCTAACACCAAAGCCAACGGAGGACAAACACTACTCGACTTCAAAGCCGACCGACGGAAAGTACGACCCGACACGCAAGCCCACCGACGAGAAGTACTCGAAGACGCCGAAGCCCACGGATGACAAGCACTACCCCGCGCCAAAGCCCACGGGTGACAAGGACCACCATGGACTGGACGAGCCGATGATCGTCAAGACCGACCATGACGATAAACACTACCCGATTCACTGTGCTGACAACGAGAAGGCGAATGAGGCGGATGGTCTGAAGCCTCCGATGAACGGCACGGCTCTTGAACTCTTTCCGATGCCCAACACGACCTACAAGGCCACTCCATCGCCCAAGCCGTAAATCACCAATTCCTTTTTTTCTCCAAGAACCAGAAGTTCTTCAAGTCCAACGTCGCCAAGACGAGTAGCTACTGTAGCTTTTTATTCCACAGCCAAATTCAAACATTGCTGATTTTTATTCCCACTTGTTGGCGGTACAGCACTGGACACTGCAAAACTCACTTCGCCACACCGATACGCCGTTGCTGCATCAAAGCCACAAGTACCGATCGCAAGTCGCCAACAGTGACACCTGCTCCTTCACCCTTCTGCGACTGATTAGTACTGGAAAAGGTAGTGCGAAGAGCTCGTAGAACATGCAGCATGTCCACGTGCGCTGGCTTGAGCATCAACAGCACCTTCAGCTCCTCAGCATCACGGTGTCGCATGCAATATTCCAGCAGTAAAAAGTAGATCGAGCTGGAGACAGTACTACGTGCCCGAGCTTCTTCTTCTTGCTCGTCTTCACCAGGGTTTTGAATATCTTGAGAGCTCTTCAGCAGCTGCAAAAAATTCTCCTTGCTCGCTTCGTACAGATGGCACTGCAGAAGCGCTCGACATGCTTCAGAGTGGTGACCGCAGTAGCTCAACAGATCCACGTATGCTAGCATCGAAGCCTTCGCTGCTTGTCCTGCCTTGCTTTCTTTCCCTTCACGTACTTTGGTCGTGAAAAACTCAAGCGGAGGGAACAGAGTCAGTGCTCGCTCTGCATGTGATCGAACCAAAGGTTGCTGGCCAGACAGCGAGAAGAGGCGAGGACAGAAGCGCTCGACGCAGCGAATAAAAGGAAGCAGCGACTCGGGCTCGTACAGCAGATACAAACGACTCATGGACTCCAGATACATGTGCTTGGAGAACGAAGACGCTGCAACATGTCGGAAATCTGCCAATACTCGCTCACTATGGAACAGACGATGACTTGGCGTTGCCTCTTCACGCCGCGTACCACCAGATTCTTGCTGCTTAAAAGCCACACCTCCCAAGAGGAAAGACTCAAGCTGTAGCAGCCACTGCCTTCCCTGTCGTTCGGAGACAGTACTACACCCGGCAGCGAAGCGCAAGCTACTCATAGGACGTAGTTTTCGACTCAGTCGAAAGTTGTGCGCATCCTCTGGATCAATCATCGAATGTTTACGTTGAAGCCCACTCCCTTCGTCCTGAGTCACTGATAAATCGTCTTTGTTCGCGAGTACATACGTAAGGTCACTCGCGGCTCGAATCGGTCGAGTATTTGAATTTTCCATAGAATCTTCCACGTTGTCACCGCTGACTTCCAACCGAGCCAGCTTACGCTTAGCGAGCACGATCCAGTTGGAGAGATGGTGGAGAGATTCGAGATTGGCTGGTGTCAGTCGCAGCAAATGGTTCTCATTGCTAGTAGCCTGTTGCCCTGCTCCATCCAACCGACCGTAGGAGCGGATACCACCGGCGGTTTTGTATATAGCAGCAACGTGCCGAGCAAGCTCGTCAACTACGTGCTCTGACGTAGCACGATTGTCGAGAAGAGCCAAGAGTAATGCTGGACTAGAGACAGTGTGCCACACAGCTTCCCAAGCCTCTGGATGGCTTTGACTTGGATCCATCGCCGACGGAGTCACACGCTCTAGTACTTCCAGAGCGTAGCGTACGGCTTCTAGATGTAAGTCACCTGTGCCATAATCCTTCACGGCAAGGAATGCCGCATCAGGATTCCGTTTCTCCGATTCCATTGGCTGTTGATGTAGTGCCCCAGCAATTGCCTTAGCTGGAGGCAAGCGGATCGTCCAGAAGCCTCCCGGAGACCATAAACCTACCGAACTTGCACTCCCTGCAATGGTCCACAGCTTGAAATTCGCTCCACGTTGCTTAGCCTTCCGTGTACTCGCATCTGGCAGTGTTACAGTCTCAAGCAGGTCGCCAGCGATCAACGTGTGGACACGAACCCCACGACAAGTCAGTACAAGGAAAACGTGTCGATGTGCTGCAACATCCAGTACTTCAGCGCTCTCCTCTTCACTTGACTGCTGCCACAACGCCAACGTCGTTATCTTTCGCGCGAACAGCATCGTACACGACGCATTATCACTGCTAGTCGCCTCAATCGTCGAAGAAGTAGTCTTGGCTTTCGGCGTCACAAGGTAAACGTCTCCTGTCTCTCGGTGTAGAATCACCAGCTCGCCAGTCACAGTGTGGAGACACATGGCTAGCTGTGACATCTCCAAGACTTGACTCCTCATAAAAATATCCTCCCAACTCAATGCCACAGTGCGTAAGGAAGCTGTGGAGCTTCGAAACAACACTCCTTGCGTCTTCGAGATCGCATAGAGACCGAGTTTTGAACTCAGCAGCTTCACGACGTCGTCGCACGTCGACTTGGAAGTGAACGCACTGCCCATAACCACATCAGTAGCTCGCAAAGCATCCGTCGCACGCTCAAAGCGCAGTCGTCGTAGCTTAAGCTTCGGCTCGTGCTTTGTCGCGGTCGACCACCACACAAACTCCGTCGCGCCACTGGCACCAGACCCCCTGCCACTTGCAGCGTCCTCTAACGGCAAATATGTCGTCGTAAAAGCTGCCACAGGCCTCGTCCACTTCAGATTTGGGTTCTCTAAGAAGCACAACCTGTTTAAAAAGACCCACTGGAACAAATCGGCCTGCCACTCCCACAGAAACGCCATGCCGTCTTCTCTGGCTACCACACACCGTAACGGCGCAGTTCCAATCACTCTGGACGACTTAAATGACGAAGACGAGTCATTTAGACCTCTTTGAGGCTTTTTAGTGTGTTGTCGACTGCCTCCACTGCGAATAAACCGGATAGAAACCACGCGACAGTCGAATCTGGCGCACAAGACGGGAGGTTTGATTAAAACACTGCCCTCTTTGCCCCCTGCAGCTCGAGTGTGAGGTGCAAAGAGCTCTTGAAGCAGCTCCAGTTCGTCCACTTGCTGCGGAGGTAATTGTTCCCCCGGGGTTTTATTCTTCCTCGACTTGGATGAATCTTCACGAGCTCCTCGACGAGAAGGAGGCAATGCATCCAGGACGTACACGACGCGTGGCGCTGCTGGAGCGGGCTGAGTACTGCTGCGAGTCATAGTCGGGATTAATTGTACTTCTGGAGGCCTGTGGACCAATACTAAAGCCACATGACCCGCTGTTGGGACGCAAAGCTCCAATTCATACGGGAAAGCGGAGCTGAAGTGATAATCTTCTTCTGCTTGAGCATCTTCTCCCCCTTGCGTGGGCGTTAAGGCACGTAACAGACGCGCGCCACGCACTGCAGGCCATGTGAGACCCCCGCGCAGCACGCGTGTGCGCTGGGAGATCGGCGCAGCAGAGAGCGCCATGAAGATCTTGGAGGGAAGACTGATTATTCAGTTTGATGGGATAAAAAAGCTGTGACGTGTGACGAAAACAGGATGGACATTTGTTGCTTTATTTTAATAAGTTGTATTATTAATAAGAGAGGGTCTGGACGCACAACTACAACTTAGTATCGGAATGAAACAGGTTAATACCTGTAATTAAGACGGCGATTCAACTTGTTAAAACTTTTAAATACATCGCTGAGTTCTGGTCGGAGCCTCAGCGTGCAGACAACTCGTACGCACTACTCCGGACATGGAATCCGTCGGTACGTTTGTCGACGCCGGCCTGATCGAATCGATCATCGATAGTATTGCCAACAAATTTGAGGAACCAGCCATAATGTTGATTCTTGTAGTTTGTAACTTCAAGACTTACAAGAAAGATGCATACGGTTGAGCGAGTAGTGATTAGTGACGAAAGTCGGCTCCTTTGGTCTCTGCAGTCTGCAGTGCAGACGATTAGAGCTTGAGTCATCTCTAACGAAAACGTGCTCGCAATCGTCAAATGATTCGTCAACGAGTCGTTCTTCGAAATACAACCCCAACGTGCTGGATGTTGTAAACGAGCTGGCGTGGAGAAGTAAAAGCGAGAATCATATTCATGGTCGCCGAATCGCCTTGCGCCAGCGCCACCTAATAGGAAAGTCTACGGTAAGGTTTCCAGCACTCACACACAGTGCCGCCGCAAGATAATGACGCTAATTCAGATGGTCGCAAGCACATGGCTCCCATCGCACAGTAAAGCTGTTCAACGGCCCCAACCTCCTCGCATGTTTCTCAAACACTGCTGGTCTTCACCTGATTGCCAATCGCTCGGGCACCGCCGTCGTTCGTCTTAGGTCAGCAAGCGCATTCGCCGGAGGTCAGGCAAGAGACTGGCTACGTACACAGTAATTAAAAAGTACAATAGAGTGGTACCATGTATCCATTCATAATCCCAACAGCACTTATCCCTAACCCAAGACCATCACTCTGGAGAACGCAAATTCGTGGTGATAAATCTTCTCCTACAATTTCAGAAATCAGCAGGCTGCTAACCGCTTTCGGAGCTATAGTCACGAGGATGTCGCGGCGACCATCCAGCGTCTGAAGCCTGTCCGACGAGAATGAGAGTATAAGGGAGAGTTGTGTCTGGGTGCTAAGTAGCCCCAGTAGTTCCAGTAGTCCCAGTAGCTCAAGCATCGACAGCGATGAAGACACGGATAGCCCAGAACCTACACGTAAGAAGAAAAGGAAAAGGGGGCTGTGCAGAAAACGATGGACAGGGGGTCGGCACTCCCGTAAAAAGCGACAGAAGAAAAAATTAAGAAGACGGACGCCTCGCTCGAGCTCCGACGATAAGAGATCTCCGCCAACTCTCAATAGCAGTAGTCGCTCTGGCAAAGAGGAAATCAACCCAGGTGGCACCAGCAGCATCGATGTTGATCACGCGGATAGCGGGAATGATGGCTGCGATATCGTCGCTCTCGATGAGCTCGTGCACGCACCAGAGCTCGACCGGAAGGTGCTCGAGAGTTAAGACGTTCTGGAGGCGTATCTGAAGACGTATAGCAGGCGAACGTATCAGGTATGTGTGCTAAACCTGAGCTGTGCGACAGTCTGAGATTGTGCATGAAACTAAAATGGTTGTGTCGAGCTGGACTGTGTTAACGATCGCGCTTGATTGCTTGTGTTACTCAGATTTATTCCGTTCGAACAAATACACCTGCTCACAAGTGCAACGAACGAATCACGAAGAACATGTCTGCATGCTCGGAAATTCCTAAAGAAGTGCAATTCTATAACAAGACCTACGTTTGCACACACCACGGTAATCCCCGCCAGAGTCGAGGGCAAGGAAAGCGTCCCCACCAATTATCGAGGAAGATCGGCTGCAAAGCACAGGTACTTTGATCTATTAACAACTTTTAGCATACGATACTTATCGTTTTGCTCGCTTCTTTGTATAATATAATCTAGATAAATGCTTGCGTTCAAGAAACCGGCGATTGGGAGGTTCGTATAACGAAGCAGACAGCTGGGCACAACCACGTCGTCAGTGGAGAACCCTTCCAGACCTACCATGAAGCTCGACAAGCTTCTGATGATGACGTTTTGGCGACCGTTCAAACTCTCCATCGAGCTGGAGCCAAGAGGAAAAGGATACTCCAATACATAATGGAGAACACGACAGTGGTGCCACAAATGAAGGATGTACACAATCTCGTCGCTCGGCTCCAAAAAGAAAGTTATGTGTATCCTGAGATCGAACAACGAATCTGCGCTATTTTGGAGGACTTAGCATCACAGGATGGTAACCTAACAAGAGTCTACGTGAATGCAGAAAACGGGGTACGTTATATCTGTGGCATTTCGCTTGTCGTGATGGAAGTTATAATTTTACATGTTGTTGTCTCACCAGAATACTGCTGAGTGTATCTCAATTCAGTCCGCACACATGAGGACAATGTTCGAAACCTTTCCAGAGGTCATCCTAGTAGATGCCACCCACGATACCAACAATTTCAACTATAAGCTCTTCAGCTTCATGGTGCATGACACCATGGGAAAAGGACAACACGTGCAGGTTTGTTCTCTTCACTTTGCCAAGTTTATAATCTAAATCTGTATCATGAATGGGACTGATCCACCGTCTAACGCTGTGCATTTAATATGGAAATGCGTACGTTACAGCACTGTCTTATCGCGAACGAGCAGAAGGAGACGCTCCGAATTGCATGCCGACAATTTAAAGAAGGCTGCCCAAGTTTTGACTCCATCGCGGTGATTATGATTGATAAAGACTTTACCGAACTGTCGGTGCTGAAGGAAGAATTCCCGAGCGCTCGGATCTTGCTTTGCCACTTTTATGTGGTGAAGTGCTTGCAGGAAGAGGTGGCAAAAGAACAGTACAACATGGACGTTTGGACGAAGAAGGGAATGAAACGTTTAATTCAATTGCTGGTGAGCGCACCTACCGAATCGGTGTACGACAACGTGATAGCTGCCATTAAGGTGGTGCTTCGCTCTGAAGAAAAGAAAAAGCTCTGGTTCAGTTATTTTGACGCAAATTGGACAAACTGCAAAGAACGTTGGGGTTCAATATCCCGCGGTAATGTGCCGCACATGGGCAATCACACGAACAATCGGTGAGTGTATGTGAGAATATGTCTATGAAATTCAAGCTGAACAGTGTTTTGCTTTTTGCTGTTCCAGACTCGAATCAAGCTGGCAAAAACGAAAGAGTTTAGTTAATCGCTCTACCACTTTGGACGATTGTGTGGTTTCAATTTTATTTTGGCAGACCGTTAACGAGAAGATGTGGTCCCAGAACATCAACCGCATCGGTGTTTACATTAACTCAGAGTACGACCGAGAAATGAACCTGCTGTTGAATACCGTGTCGCGCCATGCTGTGGATCTGGTGAAGCTGCAATACGAGTTTGCGCTCTTGTCGTCAACATCGTACAGATACTACCCGCTGGGTCCGTACGTGATGATGCAGTACACACCAAGCAATGACACTTCAAGCACGGACGAAGACTTGCCAGATGAGTACATGATAAATCCGGATAACTGGACATGTTCGTGTATCTTTCGAGTTACTCGCCTGCTCCCGTGCCGACAAATCATCTTCTACCGAAAGGCGATTGGTTGTGACCATATAGTGCCCGAAAGTATCATCCACCCGCGCTGGCTTGTCAAGAACTACCGAAAGATGAAACAGATACCCGTTCCTGACGATGCAGTGGATCCTTACGAAGAGAGACAAATGCCAACTTTACCGACCGCGCGTGCGAAAACTCACAACGAAAAATTCAAAGAACTGTTTGCGGTGGGTAAGCATATAGCTGATGTGGGATGCGAGTGGGGCACCAGTGCGCACATCACTCTAATGGCAGCGGAGCAGAAGTTTCTCCAATGCGTGAAAGCTGGCCATTGCCCCGAAGTAATTATGCCGGGCGAAAGAATTCGGAGCTTACCAGATCGAGACGAAACGCTAGAACGACGGACGGTAAATTCAACTCGTGACGTGTCATATGAATCAACTCCTTCAGAAGCGGGAATCCTATCTGAGTCTGGAGTTTCAACTGAGCCTGGCGCCCCAGAAGAGACTGGTGTACAACCTGTACTTGTCGTACAATCTCAGACTGACTGCTGTCAAGATGAAGATCTCCCTACTGAACTCGGTGAGCGTCTCGATGGTGAAGGAAATTCACACTTGTCGCCGAGTAGCATAGCACTCTACTCTCTTATGGATGAGCTGGATTCTTCTAGCCTTCACCAGGGTTATTCAAGCAACATCGGGGCGGTATCGGATGCCGCCGTACAGTCTGAGAATGTTCCGGACACATTGTACCAGTCTGAGAATGTGCAGGTAATTCAAACTGGACCAAGAGATAGTCGTGACAATTCGAGCACCCATTTAAGCGAAAATGAGATGGGTTCATCGGCACGACCGGAATGGACGATAAACAAAACGAGCAGCAGGGCTGGGCGTGTTAAGGGGACCCACAGTCTACGAAAAATGGCGAAGACCCAGGCTTTGCGTCAAACGTCTCGTTTTGTTGCTGCTGTTGCCGCTGGAAATGCACCCTCGCTTGCTGTATTACTGGATGCAATCAAGGAAGGTGTTACCTACAAACACGCACCAAGCTTACGCGCGTTGTCAGTTCTACAGCAAATCAAGCGAGCCAAAATTACCGTCTTTGAGAAGAGGAAAAAGCAACCCACTCCAACAGACTCCGTTATGAATGTGTTACCCATAGGAAGACTAGCCACCTGCGACACACAAGTTGCTCACTTTCAGAATCGATGGTTCAGCGATTATATAAGTCGGATATCTCAACACGATGTCACGGTTATGACTGCAGGGTGGTGTATGAAATCGATACGCTAAGAGCTATGCGAACTGGGCACGAAATCATTTCTCACTATGATGGAATTGAAGCAGCCATCAAATGAATTGAAGCGCATGATACATCTGCATGGGAGCCATTTGGAGCTGAGTGGAAAGAAGACATCGTAGACCAAGCGACGATGATACAGCGCCTAAAGGAAATTGAAGTGCTTAGCAGATTCTACTGGTCGACCTCGTTATGCGGTAAAACCGAGGTTGAAGGGCCTTGCATAGATCTCGTCGTGGAAAGGATTGTTCAACGGTCGAGACCTCAAGCTACCATTTTTACGCTTCCGTCAGATGTCCTACGATTCCCTGTCTTTGATTTAGAGATGATAAGAGCGGATACCGTATGGGAGCAGCTGAAGACTGCTGAATCTAGCATGGATTTGGATGCAGAAAAGTTATTATTTTTCGCTGTGATCAATTACGACTTGAACCATTGGTGTGCCTTAGCTGTCAACTTCAGCACAGGCGATGTAAGAGTATACGATCCCCAGCAAGTTGAAGACAGGTTTAAGAAGATGAGGACGTATCTGAAGGCTGAAGTGCTTCCTTTGTTGCCGAAACTCAAGTCCCCCAAACGCTACAGATTTCAAAGGGCCGAGTGGATTCCACAACTTGACAACTACAACTGCGGGATATTCGTCCTCATGTTTTTGGAGCTTTGTGTTCACGGTGGCGAGCTGAACGGAGTTGAAGGAAACATTGGACCCGTGATGCAGTTCTTTCGCTACAGATACCTTAGCCAAATCGTAGCAACCATGTAAGCCAAATGCATTTTGAATATTTGATTCTGATCCTTGTAGTTACGCACCCTCTCTCTCCATTAGTTCTTTAAGAAATAAGTAAAAAAATACAAAGTAGAAATTATAAGATTTTTTGTTGTTGAAACTGTAAGTGATTCTCAAAGAAAGACAATCACTCCTTACAGCTGCGCCAGCGCTGGTCTGGTTTTGGCAGGAAACCTGATGAAGCCCGACTGTCAGCTGGTGAGGCTTTCCAAGCGGATGCCTCATAGACAGGGCGAAACTGTGGCAGCCGTCCTGGACTGTGGACGGTGGACACAACCTCGAACTGAGACTGTGTACGTAGCCTCTGTCGGTCAGGCAAAGTCTCCGAACCTTTCGATCGGACGATCAGCCTGATCATCAGGCGCTCTCTTTTAACGTGACTTCGTGTGTACACTTTGGATTCGCGTCGATCCTGCCCAGTCCGACGTTGCGGTTTCGCCAAATCACTTGCAAACATGACAAGTTCCGAACAACCGGTCTGGGAAACTGTGCCCTGCGTGAACCCGCGGGGAGCCCCACTAATAGGTTCCGGCCACGCTAGTGCCATACGCAAAGGCTCGCTCTACGTCTTCGGAGGTGAGAAGTACAGCCGACCCTCGTGGGGTGGACCATCGTCTTTCTGCCAAGTCTCCAGTGTAGTGCATCTCTTTGCTTATCGTACCTTGCTTTTGCATAATAGAGCGACACCTTCCTGCAACTCCAATCCGCAGCAGCTCCGTGATCCGTCCCGCCAACAGCTTTTACGAGTTTAACTTCGCGAGGAAGGAGTGGTCCACGGTATTGGGCAATGGAGTGACTCCCAGTCAGCGCAAGAGCCACTCGGCTGTGGTCCACAGGGACTCGTTCTATGTTTTTGGCGGATACGACGGCGATAGACGCTTGAACGACTTCTTCTCCTACAATTTCTGTGAGTATTTATCACTACAGTTATAGTGATTTGGTCAAGACTGACATGTAATTGTGGACAATTCAGTGACGCAAACCTGGACCAACGTGTTCGTCAATGCTGGACAGCAGCCGACGCCGAGATACGGCCACGCTTCCGTGGTGTATGGTACGTTTACGTCGACACGAGCTTCGTGAAGATACACTTCTGATCTTTTATGTCTATGGCTAGACAACGCGATGTACATCTTCGGTGGGAGTGACAGCCACTACGACCGCGAGTCAATGTCAAGTCGCAGCTCCAGCGAATACGGCAGGCTGGACTCTGGTCGCCACGTTAACGACATGCACTCGTTTAACTTGGGTACGTGCTCACAACGGAATTGGGCTTGTAAAGAGCGGTCAACTAACCTTTTCTGTCCATTATAATAGAAACGAATTCGTGGTCTTTAATTCGTACCACTGGAGAGGTCCCGTATCCTCGGTAAGGATATAAGGTCAAATGTGTGAGTCTCGAGGTTAGCTAACTCGTGTATTCGTCGATATTAGCGAGGGAGCTTCGATGATTGTATACAACCAGAGCTGCGTGCTCTTCGGAGGATACGACCACGACCTTGGCTACCTCAACGATGTCCATGTTTTCAACTTCGGTGAGAAATATTTGTCTCTTGCAACAATTTTGTGCTAACCCGGTGGTGTTTAAAACCCCGCAGAGACTCGAGTTTGGTCAAGTCTTGAGACCAAGGGCACGGCACCGACAGGTTGTCACCACCCGTTAGTGACTTTGCACAACAATTCGTTGATTGTCTTTGGGGGACAGACAGGTTCGAATCTGTACGAACTCGATCTTGGTACGGGATTTTTTTATGTTGTTGATAAAAATCTTACTGACTTGGCTTTATAATATCCTTGCAGAAACGAACACTTGGGAAACTATTGCTTACGCAGGCTCTTCCCCGAAGAGCAACGCACCTGCTGGATGTGTAAATGAAGATAAGTTGATCGTTTTGAGCGAGCACAATGAAGCGGCCAGCTTCAAACAGATTCAGTTACCTCAAAAGAAGACGAAATGCACGACCGAGGAAGACCTGAAGCCAGATGAAGAGGGCTCAGCTATAGCCCACCTGCGTTCACTCGTCAACAACCAGCTCATGAGCGACGTCACTTTCTTGGGTACGTAGAAATATGGCAACATACGCACTTTTCCAACTGACAAGAGTTGTCCTGTATAGTGGACGGAGAGCCGATTTACGGCCATAAGAGTCTCTGTGTGCGGTGCAACTACTTTAAGGCCATGTTCACTGGAGAGGTACGAGTTTCAAAAATTATATTCTGCAAAATTCTGGAGTTTAATGGCGATATTGTGCTATGATAGATGAATGAAAGCACTGCTGATGAAGTGGAGATTTCAGACGTCAGTCGAGCGACGTTCCTTTCCCTGTTAGAGTATGTATACACCGATCGACTCGCTGTAGCGGACGACGATGTCAAGGAGCTTTTCGTTGCCGCCGACAGAGTATGTGCTCTATGTATCTGATTGCTATTCATCATGATAGCTAAGCAAGTTTTGTAACTGCAGTATGGCATCGAGAGCCTCAAACGTCTTTGTGCCCAGAGACTTTTAAAGTCTGTGAGCGTCGACAATGTCGCTAGCATCCTTCAGGCAGCGGACCAACACAATTCTCCGTCACTACGAGACGAATGCTTCGCCTACACGCTCAAACACTTCGATACCGTCTCGAAAACTCCGTCGTTTCTGGAAATGGCACGAAACAATATTGAGCTGGCGTTGCAGATTCTACAACAACGTTAGTTTTTTATACGTGTCGTAAAGGGGTAGATAGAAACGTCCTCTTGACATTGGAATCAAGGACCGACAAATAGCGTTTGATCAGTAGAAACAATTGCATTAATTGAAATTGATGCTAGTGCTTTCCTTTAGCTCCTTTTACATTTCCTTGTTGCACTCAGCACGTTTTCGAGTATCTGCGAAGGTTTCTTTTGACGCGATCAATGAGTGTAGCGGTTAGTGTTCTTACCACAAACTGCACTTGATATAAAGTTTCGATCGCAGTTTCCTCTCCGTCATTATGACGTCCCGAGTACTTGTGGTTTAGTCTTGGCTGGAACTTGTCCGAGCGCACCATACAATCCGTGAACAACCCCAGCATCGCTTTCATGGCCATGTGACGTCCCACACAAACGCGAGATCCTGCACCAAACGTCAAATCAACTCCAGCAGCGAATGCATCACCCGCCATCTCATCCAGCGGGATCAGAACATGAGTGTTCGGTGCGATATTCATCGCAGCGTCGCCTGAAGGGAAGTACCGTTCCACCACTGGGAATGGATGAGCACTACACACACATTGTCGAATAATCTCCAGTGTAATTGGCTCCGTCGCAGAAGTCGTCTTCGCCCACTCTTTGACTACCACAGCGACGTCGGTCAGGTTGATCGCCGGTGAGAGTATAAACGGTTGCAAAATGAGCGAATAATATTCCGGTTCCGCCCATTTCTCGCCAAATAAATCGTACAATCGAGGAGTGCGCTTGATCTCTTCCACACACCACTCAATTGTGCGCTTCTTCACGCCGCAGTCCGCAAATCCTTTGAGTGCAATTTGCTTCCGCCACTCCCACGTTGCTTGACAAACCTCAGCGAATGTTTCACTGTCGAACTCCCGTTCAAAGACCCACTCGTAGAAACATGCAACCGACAGCTCGTTCAACTTAAGGGCGTCGATTACCACGTCGGACTTCAGTAGTTTTTGGCCACGGGTCTCGAAAATGGTCGTGAGGTGGGAGATGGGCTGCAACACGTGAGTCAGTTTCGTGAAGTGCGTCTTCATCCGTCGCCATTGTTCTCCATTAACTGATTCGAGTGAGATGACGGGACTCCAGGCTGGTAATGCTAGTCTTGCTTCAATCATCTCGCCTTTGTCTCCGGTTGACTTGAGAACGTGGAACGCGAGGTCCGGCTCGGTCACCCACTTGAGCTTTACACCTTGGCACAATGCCAACGCGTGCAGTAGTAATGCGCGCAGTATTTGCGACCGCATCCCAATTGTCATAAACACGGTAACGTAAGTCGCGACCACTGTGAGTACGCAGATCAGGCCAAGTAGCAGCAGCATGGCGAAAGATTTCTTGCGGAAGGCGTAAAATCTCGCACAAGATACTCCTGTCCATTTGAAACCGTCGCTTTGCTCACAATATTGTAAGCAATAGCGCGCTTTAACTGGGACACTGATTTGATGCCAAACTGGTTAATTTTGTTGGTGCTGCAGACTTTTTACGGGGTACTGGTTGCAAAAATTGATCGGTTGCAAAAATACCGTTAATTCCGGTACATACTGGGTTCAGGAACTGGGTTCTGAGAATTTTTGGGTTGGAGTTTTAAAAGCGAAAGGAGCAACAGGTTCTCTTTCTCGAGCAACTATTGGACAGTTGCTATTTGAAACTTGTGAGCCCAGGGTTGAAGTTTCACATTCTTGGCTCGTAAAATATGCGAAAAGACACGTGATCGTAAATGCAGACGTCCGGGTCTCAAAAGTTTTGTAAATTTTCTGATCCTTATCTCGAGGGCTCGTGCGCAGCTTGATCTTTGTCAATTCTAAGCCTCAACAGCTCATCATTTCGTGCGGCGCTGCTGTAGGTTTCCCGCGCTGCCCAATTCAGCGTCCAGCTGCAGATCTTCTTTTATGCTAATTCTGGAGTGCAACGGGGCTACATAGTGTGGAGCATACAGATGCTCGGAGTACCTGGAGAGTAAACAAACGCTTAGTACATAAGTTGGAGAGCTAACCTTTTAGCTACAGTGCCTGGTAGAGGTCCCGTCAGACCTCTACCAAAACAATTCTAACATGCGATTGGTTGAAATAAAGGATCATCTACCACATGACGTTGCTAGAGGTCTTGAAAGACCTCTACCTAAGCATCTCCCGACCCCACGTTATATATTACCTGTGTGATATGTGCTTGTTAGAGATTTTCCGCAGCCAATACTTTCCAAACAGATCACACACGAAATCAGCACAGAGGGCGAGATCGAAGACATGGTTAGAGACTGGCAAGTATATGACATCGGCGAGATCGATGCGTCCGGCGAGGCGGGTACTGACGAGGGGGGGGGGGGTGCCGCGTCGGACACAGACACGGTGAGGGAAGACTGTGGCATCGTTCAAGAGCAGGATGCAGGGCCGAACAGCCGCTCTACGGAGCCAGTGACTGTTGGTGAGCAGTACATGGCATCCCTCCGAGACCAAAACAGACTTCATGTGACTATATCGGGGCAAGTGGCTAATGCATTCGACAAAAACGCTGAATTTGGAGTTTTCTTGCTTATCTTTACAAGTGTGCTCAAGGAGAGACTACGTCCATGGACATCGGACTTCCTAGTTGAATCTGGGCACGCAGCTGTCACGGAATCCGAGTTCAATGCGTACTTAGGACTCGAAAAAGCGATGAGCGTATGTCCAATGAACGATATTTCAGATTATTGGTCTAATAGCCGTTTCTTAGGCCAGGCGACATTTATCGAGAACATGACAAGGAGATAATTCCAGCAGATTCTCGGTGCGTTAACGCTACACCCGCCAGAACATCCGTCGTTTGATAAAGAGAGGGGCCCGCTTTGGCGATGTCGTGATGTTATGGATCATTTCCAACATCGTTTTTCTGATTTTGCGGTTCCGATTGGTGCTAGTAGCATTGATGAGATGACTGTCCAAACCAATGCAAGGACGCGGGCTAATACGTTCATGCCGTCTAATCTCGATAAGTACGGTGTGCGATTCTATGCCGTAGCTAAGTGGAAGCTCGCTTTACGTACACTCACTATGGGATAATCCGTCGGGAAACACGATACCTTCTACTCCTGCTGAACGCTACACGAATCTGTTTCCTACTTTGCGTACCCCACTCTGTAATACACTGCGCGATACTGAAGTATCCATTGAGGCTGATTCTGCGACGGCGATGTGGATTGCCATGGCTGGGCATCAATCGCAAGCGTTGCGCTCACCTACGGGGCATCGACTGATTGTGTCAGACAATTTCTACACCCGACACACGTTCGCCCAGGCTCTACTCAAGTTTACCGATGGTGAAATGCATTTTCTTGGAGCTGTACGAATTATTCTTGTGGATAAATGGAACAAAACCGCAGTGAAAGATGCTATTGAACGTGTGGATGCTGGTGATCGGGGAAGTTGGGAGCTGGTAGCGGTAGTAGATCTGGAGTCGGGCTGGCAGGAAAAGCAAAGAGCACACCAAAGTCGTCAGCGTCGCGTTGCTAAGGCGAATCGTACTTAATTTGAGCCATGCCTTGTTCATGCAGAAAAAGCAGGCTACATCGTCTATAAAGACAGAAACATTCGTGATGTTTTACTGCAACGACTTGAAGGCGACGCCTTCGTCACGGTCACTTCCGTCAACTTCTCCTGAAGCTGTTTACTGCTGCCATGGTACCTACCCAATTCAGCGATGGACTGAAGAACGAATGCTGCACCGTACAAATTTTTATGGGCTTCAACTCCTATTGGAGCATATAATCTTTGTATGAACGCTGTTGATCGTGTCGACCAACTGCGCAGTACAAATCCTATACGACGCCGGGAAAAGCGACTGAGCATTACTATATATACGTGGTTGATGGATCTTGCAATTATCAACACATTTTCATTACTTAAATGCTGTACGTCCTGCTGCTGCAAAATGTCTAACACTGCGTAAGGTTAAACGCCGAATAGCAGTTGTACTGACAAGCAATGAGCGTCAAAGCAAAATCAGACGAGAGCCACAACAAAAGAAGCGCGCTCGGGAAGTTATGGATGATATTGTTGGAATGTACACCTCGCTTCACATGATCACGCCAAATTCTACTATGCACAGCAGCGGCAAGCTCCTCTGTCACTTATGCAGCCTACGCAATATAAAAAGAAGTCTCGGTACGGCTGCGTGAAGTGTGACGTTGGCTTCCACGTCGAGTGTTTTACTGCGTTCCACAATCAGGCGGTCCTGAAAAACTCGCTTCAACTACGAGGGGCGCTGGTGGCGATAGGTAGGGCGTCAACAGAACAACCAGTGACCTATACCCGCAAGAAAAGAACAGGACAATCACACCAGTCGAGCAGATAAAGCTCCCCGATAACTAGTACACACAAGGCTTTACCTTTCTTGGCGAGTCAGGCTGTTGCTTGAGTTTCGTTAGCACACATCGGGGAATAGCACCGCAAAGATTGCCCACCTTCTGGTAGAGATAGATACGCTCTAGCGTTTGACGCAGAACTCTGTTCTGATGCTTGCGTTTCTGCAGCTTGGGCTGCGTTCTCCCTGCAGCAAGTGGCAGTTCCTCTACGTAGACCTCCCAGTCGCAAGGGACAGCGCCACTCCAGCAGCACAGCGTGTCTCGTGAGGGCTCCATCATCTTTGTACCAGGAGCGGCGGCTCAAAGCGATCGCGCACTAGATTGTAGAGGTTGCGTGATCTACAGTGATTGGGTGAAAAAAATAAATTTTGAATCTGTACGCTCTGATTCGGTCTAATAGAGGTATGAGCGGACCCGTAAGAGCGACCTGGTAGGTATAGGGTTAGTAAGGCCTCTCAGTACGTTGGCTGAAAGCCACTCGCTATGCATTTGATTAGGTTTAAATATGCTTAATAGTTAAACAGATACATTTACCCCTAGGCGGCATGACCGCAATAATAATAAATAAACACTTCTGGTTTTGAAACATAAAGTTACGAAATTAATGTTGAGCCGAGTCGTGTGCTATAAGTGTTAAGTGTCCTTCGAATAAGGAACTTAGTATTAGTGACTCTTTGAGTCGAACGGCTTCCGCTGACGCTAAAGCTACCGCAGCCCCGATGCAGGGAGTACTCGGAGATCCGAAGCATCAACACCCTTCAGATGAGTACGAGCATATGTGTCATTAGCTGCAACTTAAAGATTTATCACGAGATTGGACGCGGGAATACAGTCTAAAGTAGGCCCTGTGATCGGCCTGCGTGTGTCGACAGCAAACAACAGATACCAGACTCTCGATATCTTAACGAAGAGGTCATTGTTCAGGGAGGCACCCAATACACTATTCTTTTCATGTTCATCGAGCAAATTGTATCATTCTATCTCTCGTAAACCCCAAGATCTGATGCAGCCACTCCTTTCAGCTCACTACTGATTAGCAGGCAAGCCCGCAGAATTTTTTTCAGAATCATGCCCTTCTTACCGAAAAGAGGGAATCCTAAGAATTTGAAAAGCGGAGTATCGATTATACTGATTTTTGTATCAATATGTGCATTAAGATCGGGCACCCTTATTCACATCCCATGGTAATCTCTAGTAGCCATCTACGGCGGCTTAGATAGAAATCCCGCGGTAGAAATCCCTTCATTTTCAAGGAGTACTTTTAGAAAACGTCAAATGATGTTTTGTACTAATTCTAAACGCAGTACTCCCTGCGGAAATGCCTGCTGATTAGCTTCGTCGGGTCCGTCAACGCATTTTGGATATTAACAACTTGGTCACGAGCGTTCTAATTGACCCACCCTTTATTTACTTGTTTCCCAGTTGGATCCACCAGCCGAAGCCAAACTTTCGGTTTTGTAGCAAGAAGAGCACGGTCCAGGGAATTACCCATGGTGCCAATCTCCACATTTGCATCCAGCGGGTTGTCACCGCACCACTCGTACACCTCAAGGTCTGATGCAATCGCTCCTTCTCGATCACAGCTGATTAGCTTCGTTGATTTTGTCAACGCGTCATGGAGATTTGCAACTATGATATCAGCGCTCAAATTCACCCACACTTCTTCCAATCGTTCCCCATTTCGATCCACTAGTCTCAACCAAATGCGAGCCATCAATTTTCTACTGTGCAACTAGTCAAATGGCGGTCATCGGTAAGTTACGGTAGAAAAAAGTTATTTTACTGATAGATTGCAGAGGTCAGAATAATTGACTATCATAACTCCTTTGGTCGGAGTAGATACTTAACTGAGTCATAGATATAGAAACGTTAGCCGATCCGAATTCTAGAAGATTTACAGATTGGCTGTTCATTGTCTCCTTGACAACAGCCTCTCAAATTGCAAAACGACAGCAGATTCTGATAGATTTTGACATGCTGATTTGCGCTATGTCTTTCAATAATATTGAAAGACATAGCGCGTGTGTTACATATTATGTAGATGTAGAGACTGGTGACGTATTCATCAACTAAATATCAAAATTCGTAAAGCCCGCCAAAAGCCCGTAAACAAAAAAGACGTCGTGCCACATTTGCACTACATGCTCAGCTTTCATGCCATCAATCTTGGAACGGGCAACAAACTTAAGCAGGTCAATCACGAGCCGATATGACACTAAATATGCACGTACTGTACTAATCAGCATGTAACATTTGTGAGCTGGGCAAAATTTGTGCTAATCCTTGTATGTTAGAAACGGCTGGGAAATAGCACAGAAAATGAACCAACATGGATGTCTCCTCTAATCCTACGACCTATTTGACATGTGTATACCGTATCGTCTTAGTCGTTGGCGACAATGAACAGACATAAATAAACGTTATAAATGCAAAGTTATATACTACTTGTCCTCAATATCAATATCGTCCTCAGCACCGCTGCATTCACTTTCTATATCGTCGTCAGAAGCGATTTCTTCCTCTGCAATTTTGTAGCGCTCTAATTTGGTGGCAAAAGTGTCAAGTTGCTCGACGATATCTTCTTCTATGTCGACCTCCCAAGCATCAGTAAGGAAGCCTGCCCTCGCAAAACCACTATTTATTGCCTTAGACGACAATTTCGACCAGCAAGAAGTGATCCATTCCGTCATCACAGGTCTTGATGGAGCGACCAGCGAAAACTCTTCCACATCGAGTTTTTTTTCAACGGGTAGCCACTTTCCGACTCGCATTTTCTTGATCAAGTTTTGTATGAGCAAGCAAAATTTCATCTTTAATTTTGTTTTTTGCGCTGAACTTGCTCTGGCTCACCGCTGTTGTATGTAGCTGCTGTCTAATAGAATCAATCCACAGTGCGCGAAGCTCACCTTTAAACGGTTTATTCCACGAGATGTGAGCAGGCTGACACACATAATAATACTTGGGGGGCACCTTGAGCAGAACAGCATTTAGAGAGGCTGCAAAATCACGAACGGTCTGAGTCCAATGTGCGCTAAAGTCGTCCCATAGTAAAAAAACATTTTCGTGACGATTTTCACGGTAAGCGAAATGATACTCCAAAAAATTGATCGAAAGCTTCTCGTTCCACCATGCCGTGTTGTTGCCGTAAATTCTACAGGGATACTTATCCTGAAGTATTTTGATTTCGCGCCAAGCTGCTGTACCAAACCAGTTTCGCAAGTTGTCATTTTCTTTCTGCTTGCCTTGTGGTTTGGACGGTGCGGCTTTGAACAAAACAAAAGTGTCAAATTTGTTTTCACTTGAGTCGCCAAGTAACGTAGCTGTCGCCCTTTGTTTGTCCTTATTTCCGCAACGAATCCAAACCGTCTTCGTTTCTTATCTGTAATTGCTCGTTTAGGAACGTACTAAAAAAATGGCTACATTAAGCGAAAACGTTGTTATATTATGAAAACAAAAAATAAGAAAAATACAGTTTCAAACTTACCCGTTTGGTCCGCATTAAATACGTGGACACATTTTTGTTCAACAATTGTTTGCAGTACCTTTCACCTAAATTCTTTGAAGACTTGTGCTGCGTCTTCAGGGGTTGTTTGCCCTTGGCGCGTCTTGGATCGTAGAGACAGCTTATGGCGGCGCATAAACAGCTTTATCCACGACGGGGCGCCGAAAACCGATCTATTGTAAGCCCACAGTCCTCTTCCACCTCCAAACAATTAAGTTTCATCATCGTGTGGGACACCGGCGCGCCGTCCTTTCTAAGAGAGCTGATCCACATAGCAATGTCTTCTTCAGCCTCTTTAGATAACACTGTTGTTGTGCCACGCTCACGAAGGTTGAGGTGGCGTGAATGTCCGCTCTCGCAAGCCGATTTTATCGTCGCATCGTTACCACGCCATTTCTTTATAAATTGCTGCTTTGATCGTCGCTCCTTGCCGGTCAAAGTACCGTATAATTAGTCCAAAGCTTCACTAAGCGTATGGCCTGCTTGTAAGTAGGTGATAATCTCCTGCTTGTGGCCATACTCAACACAAACTCGCTTGTTTTGTTTGCGCTTCTTTTTCGTGCCCTTGATGGTTGGCCGTGCCATCCTGATTCAAGTGTGCAGGAACGAATTGGTTTCTAAAATACTTAAAATTAGCTGACCGTTAATTTTCACCTTCTGTTTTTTTTCAGATCATCCTATTGGCTAAAGAGGTCTGTCGCTTAGGCCTATTACTAAGACGATACGGTACTTATAATTGGTAATTTCTGGTTATGTGAATAAAAAGGTACTTCTTCCATCGGGAAATATAAGCGGGGCATCTGTTTAAACCGTGTCCAAAAATATAAGCAAGATGTTTACAAACATAAGTCATTTGATAATACTGTCGTATCTCGCCTAACAACGCCCATACAAATGCTGTTGTTGTTGTCGGCTGCTGCAAACCAGACCCTTGGGGATATTTAAGCACTCTACGTGGCACCGTTCAATAGAAAATCACACGCGCTACATCTCTACAACATTTCATGTAAAATTGACATCCCAGCGAAATATTTTCAAATTTTACATCTTCACCACGAATTTTGCAAGACGGACCAGGTGGCCAAACTTCGACATTTTTTTAAGCGTTATCTAAACGGTAATTTAGACCAATCCGTTGCTTGTTTAATGATTTTCTGTTTTTAAAATTAATTTTGCCCCTTGTAGTTATATTTATCCTAAATAAATTGGGTATGAGGAAAAGGTTGTATCTGAAGAAAATTGGTCGTGCCTATTCTTGAGAGGCCTATATTCTAATTCAGGAGATTAATATAAATACAACCAAAGTACCGATATATTAGGACTCCTAATTTAGGAGGCAGAAATATTTTATAATTTTAATTTTATAAAACCTGTAAAATTTAAGTGGAATTTACGGAGCGTTGCTTTTGCGCGATCGGCGAACTCAGTATTAAAATCTACGCGGCCCTTCTACCTACTCGTGATGGCTCTGCAACCCAGCTCGCGCGCGTGGGCCCCAGTGCCTTGCGAGAACCCATCAGCAGCACCCTGTCACCGCTCACTGCACGTGTGTGCTGTGCGCAAGGACTCGCTCTTCATCTTCGGAGGTATATTGACGAGAATCCGATGAATCAGTCGCAAACTCTTCCCGGGATAATTCCTTCTTCGTAGTACGCAGTTCAGCGTCTTGTAGACGCAAATACGACGATACCATCAGTGTTAATTAAATGCCGGCGCTTATCTGTTGTAGGGTACGACGGCTCCAACCGCATTAACGACTTTTACGAGTTCAACTTCAAGCGTAAATTATGGTCAGTAGTGCTGGCCATTGGCTCGGCGCCAAGCCCGCGCGACCGCCATGTGGCGGTGGTCTACAAAGACTCGTTCTACGTGTTCGCGGGCTTTGACGGCAGCTCGCGCGTCAACGACTTCATCGAGTACAATTTCTGTACGTTAGAAACGTGTTTTTTGGTGATCTATACATTTCTATTGACGCTAGATCTGTACTTCCATGCGTACAGTGACGCAGAGATGGAGCAACGTTGTGGTTAGTGCTGGTCTGCCACCCACAGCTCGACACAGTCATGCTGCGGTGGTGTATGGTACGTGTGAAGCTTACTTAAGTTATTTTTTATCACTGTAAAAAAGAAGAAACTTATCACTGTTCCCCTTTTTTTCATTAATGTACAGACAAATCAATGTACTGCTTTGGAGGATACGACGGAAGCTACAGAAACGACTTCCACGAGTTCAACTTTGGTACATCTCGACGTGCATCAGTGGCTCACTTAAACAGTGCTAACAATTGCTCGCTCTTTGTATTCTCTTCACAGAAACCAACACTTGGTCGCTAGTGGCAGCCACCGGGCGCGTTCCGAGACCTAGGTGAGTGTCAGCGTAGTCATTGTGATGAGCAATCAAGAGTAACGACAACGTTCTGCTGGCTCCTTTAGGTATCGGTCCTCCTTGGTAGTGCATAACCACACATGCGTGCTATTTGGCGGTCATGATGGCTCTCGTCACCTCAACGATGTTCATGTATATGACTTTGGTAAGCTGCTATTGTTCGCATCGGAAATTTAATAATCTGTAGACTCATGTAGCACTGCATGCGTATTTTTTCCCTTAGACACACGAGTGTGGTCGTTGCTGGCAACCGAGGGTCCAGCACCAATTGCTCGTGATAGTCACGTGGCTGTCATCCACTCGAACTCCATGTACATATTCGGTGGCAGCACGGGGACTGCAGTAAACGATTTCTACGAGCTCGATCTGGGTAAGCAAGTTGAGCCTGGTGTTGTGTTTCTAGATCTAATATTTCTATTTAACTTGCTCATTTTTCAGAGGTGAATACGTGGCAACCGATGCAGTTTAACGGTCAGCCGCCAGGACAGCGCTTTTGTCACGTTGGAACCGCTTACGACTCGAGCCTCATCATCTTCGGAGGTTACGACGGAAGTAGTCGGCTTAACGACTTCAAGCAGTTCCGTTTTGGAGAGGAAGAGTTCCAACTGGAGATTCCTGAGAGCACACTGATTAATGATCTGAGGATGCTGGTGAACAACGACGTCATGAGTGATGTGACGTTTGTCGGTGTGTGTGTGTGTCAAGGAAGGAAAAACTTTCCGACTTCTTTTGTTTAACATTTGTTGTCATTGAACAGTGGAGGGAATTCCCGTGTACGGGCACAAGATTTTGTGTATTCGCTGCAGCTACTTCAACGCGATGCTGACAGGAGAGGTAACATTGCGAAGGTGCTGGGAAGACTAACTCTAAAAGTCTAACAAGGCGATTGTTTTTTATTTTTGAAAGATGCTGGAGAGTCGAGCGCGAGAGATCCAGATCACAGACGTGCGTCGTCCCATCTTTATTTCTTTGATGGAATATCTCTACACGGATTATTTGGACGTCGCCGTGGACGTGGCAATGGAATTGTTCGTCACTGCTGATCGGGTACGCTAGTTCAAGATGCGTTTGCTCTGGCCAATTATGCTAACTACCACCTGAAAACACAGTATGGAGTTGAACGCTTGAAGCGCATCTGTGAAAGTAAAATGCTGGGATCGCTATGCGTGGAAAATGCTGCTAGTATTTTCCACGCTGCCGATCTACATAACGCGACAGTGCTGCGAGACCAGTGCGTCACCTTCATGCTGCACAACTTTGACGCCGTGACGAAGACTGATGCTTTCGAAGAAATGGGCCGAACCAATGTTGAATTGGTCTTCGAACTGCTGAAGCGCCGCTAGGATGGAAGTAGCGGAAGTGCCAAGTGCAATGCTTTCTTGTCAGATTTTATAGAATATATACGCTGAACACTATGTACTCAAGTTTTGTTAAGGCACTTTTGCGGAACCGCATATATTAGACCAATAATCGCAAAAAGCAAACCAAAGCATCTAAAAAAGTACTACAGAGTCACAATTTATGATAGAATGATGTTGAATTCCTCAGTCTAAGTAGTCATGACAGAGAAGACCTCTATGAGGTGACGGCGATAGATCAGAAGCGTTGTGCTCTCTCTTCAGCGTGTTGCCGCTCTCTCACTTTTCCTTTCGCCTTCTTTTTTGCACTCTTGACCACCGCCTTACCAGCACCGTCAAACAACCAAGAAACATCCCGTTCAAGATGCATTCCAAGATCATCCTGTTGCTCGGTGTTTGCGTCGCTGCCTCCATACTGCAGACGGCTGACGCACGCACTACCGGGCGCAACCCTCGTAAGCACGATCATGGGCATAGGCAGCACCACGGCCACGACCACCACAAAGACCATTCGCACTATAGTCGCCGCTTAGAAGACAAGGACAACAAGGACGACAAGGTCACGGAGTCATCCAAGTACACCAGTAGCTACGGCAAATACGACTATGGCCGCGACGACTATGGCCACGACGACTATGGTCACGACGACTATGGTCACGATGACTATGGTCATGATGACTACAAACGGAAGGGCCACGGCTACGACGACCATGACTACAAGGGCTATGGCGTTGGCTACAGCTACAGCTACAAGAGCTATGGCAAGGACTACGATGACTACAACGACGACTACTACGGCCACGGCAAAGGCTACTACAGCTATGACAAGGGATACGGCAAGAAGGGCTACGACTACTACCCTGACTACTACTCGTCGTACAGCGGTGGCTATGGTTATGATGGCTACTATAACAACGGATACTATCCCGATTCCTACTCGTCCTATGGCTACGGTGACAAAAATGGCTATGGATACTACCCAGATTACTACTCGTCCTATGGCTACCCTAGCTATGGTTACGGCTACGATCACGGCAACAGCTACGGCTATGGCAACCCCTCCTACGGTTTCGGATCCCCGGGATTCTTCAACTACGAGTCTGCTGCATCGGATGCTGGCACGGACAGCACTCCGAAGGAGCAGGGCTCGGACGCGGCCAAGAGTAAGTCGGAGAAGAAGGAAGACAAGCCCAACGTTGAGGAGAAGGAAAACAAGTCGAATGCCGCGAACAAGTCGAAGGGCAAATAAAGACGTGATCAGAGAAACATGAAGCGTGTGCAATACGTAGCGTTGGAAAGCAGAGGTAACAGTAGAAAATACAATGCCAATTAATGTGACGTGGTAAATAGTTAGAGCTTAGTTCGGACTCGTCCCTGGAAGACCAAACTCGTCCCTGGACGACCAAAACCTATCTGTAAAAAAAGAAGTTTAGTAATGTGCGCCGTTGCAAGGGCCATTTTATAGACCGGGATGCCCCTCTAATTGGTATGGTTAGTACTACGTCGAAGGCTTGATCTGTGTGCATTTCTATTATTTCATGGTGCGTACAAATGGATTAGGTATTGCGTCCGGTTGAGGAAACGCGGACTCCTGTAAGATTTAACGACGAGTTTTTTTTTATCCAAGTATCCAAATCTGAAGGTTCAGGATCCGACTTATGATGAGCGTTGGATATTCATACTCTAATTTGATAATATCAAATTATGAAGGTGTCGATTGGACAATTTTACAACAGCTACAGAAGCTGAAAAGGCGTTACAAAAATTGAACCTTAACCGTTACTTAGTACTGTAAACGGCAACTATGAGTCACAAGTTATGATAGAATGAAGTTGCTAGAATCGTGTTGAATAAGGGGCCTTTTTAGCTTCGGATTTGGATACTTGGATAAAAAAAAACTCGTCGTTAAATCTTACAGGAGTCCGCGTTTCCTCAACCGGACGCAATACCTAATCCATTTGTACGCACCATGAAATAATAGAAATGCACACAGATCAAGCCTTCGACGTAGTACTAACCATACCAATTAGAGGGGCATCCCGGTCTATAAAATGGCCCTTGCAACGGCGCACATTACTAAACTTCTTTTTTTACGGATAGGTTTTGGTCGTCCAGGGACGAGTTTGGTCTTCCAGGGACGAGTCCGAACTAAGCTCTAACTATTTACCACGTCACATTAATTGGCATTGTATTTTCTACTGTTACCTCTGCTTTCCAACGCTACGTATTGCACACGCTTCATGTTTCTCTGATCACGTCTTTATTTGCCCTTCGACTTGTTCGCGGCATTCGACTTGTTTTCCTTCTCCTCAACGTTGGGCTTGTCTTCCTTCTTCTCCGACTTACTCTTGGCCGCGTCCGAGCCCTGCTCCTTCGGAGTGCTGTCCGTGCCAGCATCCGATGCAGCAGACTCGTAGTCGAAGAATCCCGGGGATCCGAAACCGTAGGAGGGGTTGCCATAGCCGTAGCTGTTGCCGTGGCTGTAGCCGTAACCATAGCTAGGGTAGCCATAGGACGAGTAGTAATCTGGGTAGTATCCATAGCCATTTTTGTCACCGTAGCCATAGGACGAGTAGGAATCGGGATAGTATCCGTTGTTATAGTAGCCATCATAACCATAGCCACCGCTGTACGACGAGTAGTAGTCAGGGTAGTAGTCGTAGTCCTTCTTGCCGTATCCCTTGTCATAGCTGTAGTAGTTTTTGCCATGGCCGTAGTAGTCGTCGTTGTAGTCATCGTAGTCCTTGCCATAGCTCTTGTAGCCGTAGCTGTAGCCAACGCCATAGCCCTTGTAGTCATGGTCGTCGTAGCCGTAGCCCTTCCGTTTGTAGTCATCGTGACCATAATCGTCGTGACCATAGTCGTAGTCGCCATAGTCGTCGTGGCCATAGTCGTCGCGGCCATAATCGTATTTGCCGTAGCTACTGGTGTACTTGGATGACTCCGTGACCTTGTCGTCCTTGTTGTCCTTGTCTTCTAAGCGGCGACTATAGTGCGAATGGTCTTTGTGGTGGTCGTGGCCGTGGTGCTGCCTATGCCCATGATCGTGCTTACGAGGGTGGCGCCCGGTAGTGCGCGCGTCAGCCGTCTGCAGTATGGAGGCAGCGACACAAACACCGAGCAACAGGATGATCTTGGAATGCATCTTGAACGCGATGTTTCTTGGTTGTTTGACGGTGGTGCTGGTAGGGCGGTGGTCAAGAGTGCAAAAAAGAAGGCGAAAGGAAAAGTGAGAGAGCGGCAACACGCTGAGGAGAGAGCACAACGCTTCGGATCTATCGCCGTCACCTCAAAGAGGTCTTCTCTGTCATGACTACTTAGACTGAGGCATTCAACACGATTCTCGCAACTTCATTCTATCATAACTTTGTGACTCACAGTTGTTGTTTACAGTACTAAAAATGATATCCAACGCTCATCATAAGCGGGAGTTTGAACCTTCGGATTTGGATACTTGGATAAAAAAAAGACGTCATTAAATCTTACAGGAGTCCGCGGTTCCTCAACCGAACGCAATACTTAATCCATTTGTACGGACGAGTCCGAACTAAACTCAAACCATTTACCACGTCACATTAATTGGCATTGTATTTTCTAGTGTTACCTCTGCTTTCCAACGCTACGTATTGCACACGCTTCATGTTTCTCTGATCACGTCTTTATTTGCCCTTCGACTTGTTCGCGGCATTCGACTTGTTTTCCTTCTTCTCAACGTTGGGCTTGTCTTCCTTCTTCTCCGACTTACTCTTGGCCGCGTCCGAGCCCTGCTCCTTCGGAGTGCTGTCCGTGCCAGCGTCCGATGCAGCAGACTCGTAGTCGAAGAATCCCGGGGATCCGAAACCGTAGGAGGGGTTGCCATAGCCGTAGCTGTTGCCGTGATCGTAGCCGTAACCATAGCTAGGGTAGCCATAGGACGAGTAGTAATCAGGGTAGTATCCATAGCCATTTTTGTCACCGTAGCCATAGGACGAGTAGGAATCGGGATAGTATCCGTTGTTATAGTAGCCATCATAACCATAGCCACCGCTGTACGACGAGTAGTAGTCAGGGTAGTAGTCGTAGTCCTTCTTGCCGTATCCCTTGTCATAGCTGTAGTAGTTTTTGCCGTGGCCGTAGTAGTCGTCGTTGTAGTCATCGTAGTCCTTGCCATAGCTCTTGTAGCTGTAGCTGTAGCCAACGCCATAGCCCTTGTAGTCATGGTCGTCGTAGCCGTGGCCCTTCCGTTTGTAGTCATCATGACCATAGTCATCGTGACCATAGTCGTCGTGACCATAGTCGTCGTGGCCATAGTCGTCGCAGCCATAATCGTATTTGCCGTAGCTACTGGTGTACTTGGATGACTCCGTGACCTTGTCGTCCTTGTTGTCCTTGTCTTCTAAGCGGCGACTATAGTGCGAATGGTCTTTGTGGTGGTCGTGGCCGTGGTGCTGCCTATGCCCATGATCGTGCTTACGAGGGTGGCGCCCGGTAGTGCGCGCGTCAGCCGTCTGCAGTATGGAGGCAGCGACACAAACACCGAGCAACAGGATGATCTTGGAATGCATCTTGAACGCGATGTTTCTTGGTTGTTTGACGGTGGTGCTGGTAGGGCGGTGGTCAAGAGTGCAAAAAAGAAGGCGAAAGGAAAAGTGAGAGAGCGGCAACACGCTGAGGAGAGAGCACAACGCTTCGGATCTATCGCCGTCACCTCAAAGAGGTCTTCTCTGTCATGACTACTTAGACTGAGGCATTCAACACGATTCTCGCAACTTCATTCTATCATAACTTTGTGACTCACAGTTGTTGTTTACAGTACTAAAAATGATATCCAACGCTCATCATAAGCGGGAGTTTGAACCTTCGGATTTGGATACTTGGATAAAAAAAAGACGTCATTAAATCTTACAGGAGTCCGCGGTTCCTCAACCGAACGCAATACTTAATCCATTTGTACGGACGAGTCCGAACTAAACTCAAACCATTTACCACGTCACATTAATTGGCACTGTATTTTCTACTGTTACCTCTGCTTTCCAACGCTACGTATTGCACACGCTTCATGTTTCTCTGATCA